GGATATGAGTACGAATGTATATATTTATGTATGCATGTGCGTACGTTATATGTACATGTTTATCATATCATACTTCCTTTAAAAGTACGAGTTCGGGAAAATCTTTCTATGACCAATATTACCCTTAGTTTTTTTGAATATTACATTGTTATCCTAATCTATTCTAATTATCATATCTTATTTGAATTGGTAACCAAATAATTTATTCTATTCATAAGGAGACTTAACATGTAATTGGATAAAATAGATATGTTTCATATAATTCAAATCCTTTACTTATATCAGTTCGTAGAGAAATCTAAAAAACAATGCTAGCCAACACCTAAAATTTTTGGACTTTGTAAAAATCTCCAAGTTTTTTAAATTACCAAAACAACCCTACAAATTCAAAATTTTATTAAAACATCTTGAATATTATAAATTTTACTTATCTCAATCTAGAGAGAAATCTGAAAAATATATGCTAACTAGAAACTAAATGTTTTTTGACTTTAGAGAAAATATCTTGTAACTTTTAAAAATTAAAAAAACACCTCTAAAAATTTAAAATTTATAAAACACACCTTGAAAATGTCAAACTTATAAACATACTAAAAACCTAAAAATAACACAAACAATCCCAAAAATTATGGAATTTTCAATACACACTCTAGACTTTTTACAAATTGCAAAAGAAACCCTCAAATTTATAAAATTTACAAAAATCCTGATAATTTCTGACCTAACAGTACATTAAAAATATAGGAATTATAACTATTCCCTACATAATTTATAATTTATAGAAAATACCCTTAAAATTTTAAAAATTACAAACAAACATTTAAAATTTAAAATTTATAAAAAACACCCTAAAAATTTCAAATTCATTAGTAAATTTAAAGCATAGAAAGTATTAATAGTCTATAAATAATTTACAATCTGTAGAAAAATCCTATAAATTTAAAAAGTCCTTAAAATTCATAATTTAAAAAAAACTTCATGAAAATTTCTAACCTATAGACATTAAATTGAATATGTAAAATTACTAATAACCCCTTGAAAATTAAAATTTTGCAAAAAATAGCATACACCTTTTAAAAGTATAGGTTTAGGAAAACATTTTCATGGTAAATATTGGCCATAATGTTTTTGAAAAGAACATAACTAATTAAAAATCTATTAAATTTAAATTTTATAAAAAAATACCGTTAAAGTTTAGTATATTGCAAATTACCCCTCCAATGTTTAAAAATTTTCAATGATTTTTTTATAATTTCTTGATTTTAATGTAATGTTTAATAGTTTGTTGTATTTATAAATTATAAATTTTAGAGTGCTTTTGTACACTTTTTAAAACTTTTGAGGGTATCTATTTTATAGTTTTCTAAATTTTTATTTTGTTTTTAGTGTAATGCACATATACATCAACTAATGATGATATTGAAAAATATATCATTCTTAAAATTTTTAGACCATAGTTAAGTATGCACATTACTATTTCTAGGTAGTATAGTTTATATATACAAAAATTTTCAGATAATCTATGTAGTGATTAAAAAGATTTTGACTTTAATGTACTATTTTTTATAAATTATATTTAATATAAACTCACCATATAACTTTGACTGTGGTTATTATAATTTTAATACATTTGATTGATTGACTATGTACATATATAGACTATAGATTACTTTACTTTCTCACATGAGCTAACATTTAGTGCTTAATAATTTAAATTATTACTTTTAAATTTAATATAAAGATGAGCTCTAATAACATTTATTTATTTACATACAACATCATTCAATCTCAATTCATATTTTTGCTAGAGATTTATTCCATAGTTACGCATATCAAATTAGTAACTAAAATAATAATTATTTATGCTTAAATTATGATGATTGTAGTTGGTCATTCACTATAAAAATTTTATAAAAATATATATCTTACTTTCTATAGCTATCTGCACTGTCCATGTATATTTTATAAATTAGTTTTTAATTTGATATATTAAACTACTTTTTCATTTTTCTTCTTTGACTTTTAAACTATGTAATAACTATATAACCATTTTAGCATAGAAATGACCTCACTCTAAATGTCTTCAAGCCAATGTTTGAGTTTCACTGAAGTATATATTATTGTTACTATGTATATATATTTTTTAAGAAAGTTATGTCAACACTTTTTAAATAGAAGAGAATATTGTAACCTCTGATATTATAAAAATTAAACATAGCCAATTGAATAATTAACAAAAGAGAACTTATATCAAAAAAGTGTAAATAATAAGATAAAGATGAAAGGTAATGGCATTGCCAACATTACTACAAATAGCAAACTATAATTTAAAGTTAATCTATTTTGTGGAGCCTAATTACTGGTATAAGCAACGTGGTTTCCATATATACACTTTATAATTTATTAAAATGGTCATATAAACTTATATGATAAAATTAATTTAATATCAAATAGTAATATCATTGTAATAATATCATTATTAGAAAAAATTCTTCATGAATCGATATGATTTTTACGATATATAAGCTATGCACTCTAAATTATTGTGTTTTTTTATAGAGCCAAAAAGTTTGAATAAGAGACTCTAATATGTTGCTCTCACAACAGCAAAATCTACTTAGAAGATATAAATATTCTAGATGAGTTATGCATCCTATATATAATACAATTGTCCTAAGCATGTAAGTTATAATAGTATTTTTTTTATTCACATCGTTTGGGGTAATATTTGATAGGGACCTTGCATCAAAGAAAAGAAATTATATTTAGAGCACATGACAAAATATATCATAATCTCCTTGTTCTAATTTTATAAGAAAATAATTCTTCATACTTTTAGCTTTATTTCTATGATACAAAGAATTAGCTATAAAATTGAATGAGAATATTAGATAATATAAATATGAGTGAAACATCAACTAAAATGTAAACATAAATATGAGTCAAATAACAACTAAAAGTTTAATGAACATATTGCAAGTAAATTCATATGCAAAATTTTTTTACGAATTGAATGACCATCCATCTTTTGAAGACTTTAAGATACTAATAAATAGAGATATTGTACTAAATTAATATGTTTATAACTCATAAATAGTAGATCATGTAGCTGTAGTCTGGGTTAAAGGAATTAATGATAATATTTTATTTGAGAGAGAGATTATTGAGTTGATGATCAATCCCACTAAAAAATTTATTTTCTTTTTTAATTTTTACTCTATTTTTATCAATTTAAATAATCATGATATTCAACCACGTGCATCTAAACTCATGATATTCAACCACGTGTATTGCACGTGCATCTCAACTAGTTTAATACAAATGTGTGTGTATCACACTGAAAAAAAAATCTTCATTTTGATTCTTACTTGCATGTACGTACTACAGATTCTTATAGGATGCGATGGCTCAAACTCGGTTGTAGCAAAGACATTAGGATTGAAGCCCCCAAGCCTAATTCAAACACAAATAGTGCAAGGGCTCACGACTTATCCAAATGGACATGGCCTCTCTAATCATTTCTTGCAACTGTGGGGTGACAGAATGTTCATCATAAGGCTTCCAGCCGACAAAAAGACAGTCTTCTGGTTTGTAAAGAGAGAATTGAACCGAAAAGGTATTTCTCATCCCTAAAATTTAGCTCATGCAATTTTGAATTCAATCTAAAATCTTATGAAATTGTCAGATCAAGAAAACAAAGAAGATCCAGGGCTCATCAGAGACGAAACAATAGAGGTACTCAAGGATTTTCCCACAGAGGTGATTGAAATGGTGAAGCAATGTGATCTGAACACAATCTCATTCCACCGTATTAGATATCACGTTCCATGGCACTTGGCACTTAGCAATATTTCAAAAGGGCCAATGACGGCGTCTGGCGATGCTGTGCACCAAATGGATCCATCCATGGCACAAGGTGGCAGTGCTAGCCTCGAAGATGCAGTGGTGCTCGCTAGATGCTTGTCCAAGGAAATGACAATCAATTTGTCTGAAAGTAAAATGAGCGATCAAGAGACATATAAGAAAGCTGAAGTTGCATTGCAAAATTATGCAAGAGAAAGACGATGGAGGATATTGATATTATCTACTAAATCCCATCTCATAGCGTCTCTGCTTCATGCTTCATGGCTCAAGAGGTTCACATTCCTCACCATACTTTCTAAATTTCTTGGCGGCAGATCAAGCCACACACAGTATAACTGTGGCCACCTTTAGGAACAAATTTTTTTTGGAAATAAAGGTTGTAGGAGGGCCTGCTGAGTAAAGTTAGTGAATTAGAGTCTTTTGTTATATTATGAAAATAATAAATAAATCAAACTTTTTCTGGTGATGATTAAGGAGTATGTTATCCAACACTTGTAATTAAGTAAGATTCAAGTACTCTTTTTGTGGAGGACTAAGGAATGCAGTAAGGCAGCATCAGGAAGCTGTAGAGACAAACACGGATGTGTAACCACCTCACAAAGAAAAGATAAGGATTAATCTTGGTTAGATAAGATGCCTACGTCCACAACCGGTGAGATCAATAATCCACTATTTATCAAGAGGTTACAATGAAGACAAAGAAGAGTAGAAACTCTAATCTCTCTCCCTTAAAAAGCCAAAACAAATAACAATTTTTCTTGTCAAAGTTACATAGAGAAACCCTAGACAATCTTTATTTATAATCTCCGTCAAATTCGAGTCCAACTAGCCAAACAACTTCTCAATCTGAATCCAAACAGGAGTTCAACTAGCCAAACAACTCCTCAATCCGAATCCAAACAGGACTCGAAAATACATCCAAATCATGTGGGACTCATCAGTGTGTTCTGATTATATAGTCAACAGAGAGGTCTGATAATTCATGGCTCAATATGAGCCACCGATGGGTGGCTTTCAATACAACCAAACTAACAAATATCCACCTTGGCGAAATTAGTAAGTCACCAATAGTTTTCATCACCCAAGTAACCTCTGATCTCTTCACAACCATCGCCACCAAATCGCCCCGAAGGGCCTCAACACCAAAGAACATTGATCAAGTTGAGACAGTGGTCAAACTTGACTGTTGGAATAACCTTTGTCAACATGTCTGCTTGGTTCTCCTTAGTGTCAATCTTCGTCAGTTGAATCTTGCCACTCACAATTATCTCATGGATAAAATGAAATCAGACGTTAATATGCTTGGTGCGAGCATGATAGACTTGATTCTTTGCAAGATAAATTGCACTTTGACTTTCGCAGTGCACTTCAACAACCTCTCGAGATATACCCAAGTCACCAACGAAGCCACTTATCCACACCGCTTCCTTAATCGCCTCTGTTACTGCCATGTACTCTGCCTCTATAGTAAACATCACCACAGTAGACTGTAACATAGACCTCTAACTTATCGGACCGCTGGTAAGAACAAAACAATACCCACTAGTGGACCGACGCCTGTCCAAATCACCCGCATAGTCCGAATCCATGAACCCTCTCACTTGTGACTCTCTAGGCTTTGAATAAATCAAACCGATATCCAACGATCCTTGAAGATACCGTAAAATACAGTTCCCAGCCTACCAGTGTTGTTTACCCTGATTTTCCATAAATCGACTAACCAAGCTGACTGCATGTGCAAGATCTGGACGACTATAAACCATAGCATACATAAGGTTACCAACTGCACTAGCATACGGAACTTGAGACATGTACTCACGTTCCACCTTAGTAGTAGGAGACTAAAGACCTAAAAGCTTGAAGTGAGGAGCCAACAGAGTACTAACTTGCTTTGAGTTTTGCATCCCAAAATGAGCCAACACCTTCTCTACATACCGCCTTTGAGAAATGCACAACCTCCCCTTCTTCCTATCTCGAACGATCTCCATCCCAAGTATCTTCTTCGCAGGACCCAAGTCTTTCATCTTAAACTCAGAACTCAACTTCTTCTTTAGCTTGTTGACTTCCACCATACTATATGAGGTAATAAGCATATCATCAACATAGAGTAATAAATAGATGAAAGAACCACCAATTTGCCATCATCACGACAATTGCTTTAATTCATACAATGATGTTTTTAGTTTGTACACATAATCCTCCTTACTAGCAACTGCAAATCCAATGGGCTATGACATATAACTATCCTCCTCCAGATCTCCATGCAAGAATTTAGTGTTGACATCTAATTGCTCGAGCTCCATATCATACTATGCAACCATTGCTAAAAGGGCCCGGATAGAGGTGTGTTTCACGACCGGAGAGAAAACTTCATTATAGTCAACACCTTCTAGTTGTGTATACCTTTTTGTCACTAATCTTGCCTTGTACCATACACATGTACTTCCATCGAAGCTTGTAAAACCATCCTTCACCATATAGACCCACTTGCACCCAATCAGCTTCTTCCTATTTGGTGCTTCCACTAAATCCTAAGTATGATTTTTATGAAGGGACTCCATCTCCTCCCTCATCGCCGTCATCCACTCCTTGCTACGATCATCTCTCATAGCCTCATTATAGGTAATGGGCTCATCTCCATACACAGATAAAGCATAGGCTACCATATCCTCAAAACCGTAACGAGCTGGTGCCTTCCCCGCATTGGGTTTTCTTTCTCTATCGCCTGCCAAGGATGGTTGTTGTTGTTGCTGAATAGGCCCCTCATCTGGAAACTCCAATTCTACTATTACCTCATTAGTAGACATCGGTGGAGTTGTGAATTCCACCTCCAAAAAATCTTCACCACTTCTACCCAACCTGATTCCCTCCAAACTGGTGTTTCCTACCGAGCTGATATCTCCCTGTAGGGTGTAAATTTTGATCTCCCGAAAACAGGGAACTTCGTTTATATTGATAAGAAGGCTTATTACAAACTAATAAATCAAATATTTATAACAGAAGCAGAGGGAAGGCCCTCCTTGTTTAACGTGGTTTCCTCGGTGGCGATAGGACGCCTCGCTCGGTGCTCGTGCCGAGTCTGCTTCCCTTGGATGATCCGATCGAAGTTGCTACCGGAGCTTCTGCTCTCTAATGAGGGAGCCTTTGGCAAAGGTCCAGGTTCAACCTTTGGGAGATTAGCCAACAGAATATGCAATAGACAATCCCCCTTTCATGCAGGCCGAAGATGGGTTTTAATAGGCAATGGATGACATTGGCCATCCCTTGATTCATGGGATTTGACCACTAATAGAGGTGAGGGAGACAACTTGACTGCTCCTTGAATTATGGGATGTGACCACCCGTCGTTCAGAGATATCCTGTTATTCACCTGCAACAGGAGCGGTCATTCGAGGAGCCATGTTTTACATCACGTCACTTAGGAATGAGAAAGCCCCTCCTCGTATGCGTAACAACGGCTGTCAGATACTCGAGTGGATATGGCCAACTCACTGAGCGCCGGCGACCCTCCCTTCTGCTTGGACAAGTGAGGTAAGCTGCATTTATGAGAGTGCAGGCTGTTTCGGCGCCTGTCCGCTCATTCGTACTGTGGACGGCCATCTGACGGGCCTGGAGTATTGTGCCCTCTCCCTTGATTTGTGGGATCTGACCACGGATGTAACTGTTCCCATACTCCAAGTGGGCAGTTGACAGTGAGCTGGCGAGTCTGCAGCTTGGGTCTGCAGGCGAGCTTAGGACTGCAGGCAGACTTGGGTCTGCAGGCGAGCTTGCAGGCGAACTGGGTCTGCAGGTGAGTTTGGGACTGCAGGCGGACTTGGGTCTGCAGGCGAGCTAGCAGGCGAACTGGGTTTGCAGGCGAGCTCAGGTGCGCAGGCAGACTTGGGTCTGCAGGCGGATTTGGGACTGCAGGCAGATTCGAGCTGCAGGCGAGCAGGCAGACTTGGGTCTGCAGGCGGATTTGGGACTGCAGGCGAATTTGAGTTGCAGGCGAGCTCCTGAGCATGGATTGAAGAATAGCCCGTAACTTTTAAACCGTAAGTCGGAATTGGATGAATTATATATGAAAATCGCCTATCTCGACGAGATGGAGCCATCCGAACCTAGCCAAAGGCTTCAGTTTGCTTCCTCCGTTTCGTCAATTTCCTTACGGTTTGGGAGATATCTGCGTTTTCCCCTTTTTCTGCTATTTCGGGCGAGGTTTTAGCAGTTTTGTTCTGAACTTCTCTGATAAAGATTAAAGGTACTTTTTATTACCTACAAAACCCCCTCCAAAGTTTTCAGACCTGAATCGGGCCGCATGGGGTCTGGAACACTTTGGATATGAAGACCCGTAAAGTGATCCCCGCTCAGATGGAGTAGCTGATGATCGCCTTCTAGGATTTTGAGCAAACCCTCAGCTATCAACGGACTTGATTTGTCTTTACCAACTGCCGTTTGAGTTGGACTAGCCATGCTCTTGCCCTTAGCATGGTAAGTTATCGAGGAGTTTCTCTTAGGCTCAATGCTAAAATTTCTCCTCTATCCTTAGCCTTTCGAGGCATTTGGATTAAGAGTGTAGGGAGCAGTTTAGACTCATGCACCAGTTGGAGTATAAGGGGGCAGTTTAGACTCATGCACCAGTCGGAGTATAAGGGAACAGTTTAGCCTCATGCACCGGTTGGAGGATAAGGGGGAAACTTGTCTTCTCTTAGGGCAAAGATGACTCAAGCACCAGTTGGAGTGTAAGGGGGCAGTTTAGACTCATGCACCAGTTGGAGTAAAGGGAACAGTTTATACTCGTATACCCGTTGGAGTCTAGGGGGAAGCTTATCTTCTCTTAGGGCAAAGATGAAGACGAACCCTAATTTGTCTTCTCTTGGGGCAAAGACGAATCCTGAAGTAGCAGCACATCGCATAGTAGACCACTATCAAACAACAACGCCTTTTATGGGAAAGACGGTGCTGGGAGAATCAAATCGTTCAGGGACGTATGAGTATGACGACTGATCGGACAACGTCATTTGCGGGAATGACGGTGTCGGCTATCAGAGATAATCGTTAACATGATAGGAATTACCGCGATCAGAGCGACTTTGAGGATCAACCATCCTTTTGAAGAGGATTGGTAAGTTGATTTTGTCAGAGGTGTAGTGTTAACATGACAGTGGGAGTTTATTGCGATTTGAGCAACTCTATGGACCTACCATCCTATTGAAGTGGACTTGTAAGTTGATTCGTCAGAGGTGACCGTTAACATGACAGTGGGGGTCCCGCCATCCTATTGAAGAGGATTGGCGGGGGATTGTGGCTTTGGTCCTAACTATCTGAAGGTTTGACCAAGTGGGAGTTTGATGCAGCCCACCTGAACTGCTAGTCTCGCCTTCAAGAAGTGGGGCTCGCCTAACTGTTAGGCTCGCCTGATTTGAGCGGT